CACCCGCAGGTGCGCGAGCTGTCGGAGCAGCACGCGCAGCTCTGCGCCGTGCAGCTCGGCCTGCTGCGGCAGCGGGCGAGCCGCGAAGGTGAGCTCGCCTCGCTCAAGCAGAGCCGCGCGGCGGCGCAGGCGGCGCAGGCGGAGGCGTCTGCGGCGGAGGAGTACGAGCGGGCGGCTTCCCTCGCGGCGGAGCTCGAGGCGCTCGAGGGGAGGGAGGCGGAGCTGGCGGAGGGCGAGGCGGAGGGCGAGGCTTCCTACGCGAGGGCCGCGGAGCGGCAGGCGGCGCTGCTCGGCGAGCAGCGGAGCTTGTGGGCGGACCAGGTCGGCGAGGCGCGGCGCTGCCTCGCGGCGAGAGAGGAGGTCGCGGCGAGGGAGGCGACCGCGCGCGAGTCGCTCCTCGAGGCGCAGGAGGAGCGGCTGGGCGAATAAGAACAAGGAGTCAGAGTCATGATGATGAAGATAACAACAATAGGCGCAAGAGGAGCGGCTGGGCGCGGAGCGGGAGCGGCTCGACGACGAGCGGCGGCAGCTCGACGCCAAGGGGGACTCGCTGCTGGCGAAGCAGGCCGAGGCGGAGCACGCCATCGCCGAAGAGACGCGCGGCCTCGGACGCGGCGGGACACGTCCACGCCACGCCCATGACACGTCCGCGACGCGCCCCGCAGGCGCGGCCCGGACGAGGAGATGGCGAGGCTCAAGGAGGAGGAGGAGGCGCTCGCCGAGGAGGTCGCGGCCCTGCTCGCCAGGCTCGAGGCCAAGCGCGCCGAGCAGGACGAGTGCGCGCGCAAGGTCGCGGTCTGCGGCGCCGCCATCGGCGAGGTGCGGGAGATATGGGGAGATATGGGGAGATATGGGGAGATATGGACGCCATCGGCGGGGTGCGGCGGCGGCGCGGCGAGTCGTGGTGCGGTACCCCTCCGAGGCACGCCCGTGACACGTCCCCGCCGCGTCTCTCGCGCAGGTGCGGCAGCGGCACGCCAAGCAGCTGCAGCGGCTGCAGACGAAGCAGGAGACGCTGGCCGCCGCAAGAGACGCGCACGCCCAGGCGGCGGCAGGGCTGCAGGCGGCGGCCGCTGCGCACGAGGAGGAGCTGCGCGCGACGGAGGAGCAGCAGGAGGCGCGGCGCGGATGGATCGGTTCGGCGGAGAGCGCCATCGCCGACGCTGACGCGGAGGCGGCGCGGCACGGCGCGCGGGCGGACGCGATTGCGCGCGTGGCGTCCGCCGAGGAGGCGCTTCGCTCGCACCGGGCGCAGGAGCGGTCGCAGCTGCACGACCTCGAGGAGGAGGCTGCGTCCATCCGCGCGGCGCAGCGCACGCACGCCG